TTTTAAAATCTGGGTTGTTTCCAGACATGTGGAAGATTTCCAAAATCATACCAGTATTAAAACGAGGTGATAACTCGCTTATTGTCAACTACCGACCAATATCAATTTTATGTAATTATGCTAAAATATTCAAAACAATAATAAATACAAAAATTGTTGATCAAATAAAAAATATGTTGTCCCCTTTTCAACATGGTTTTATTACAAAACGATCTACCACAAGTAACTTGGTTTCATTTACACAACATGCTTGTCAAACGATTGATAGCAATGGCCAATTGGATGTTATCTATACCGATTTTCAAAAGACTTTTGATCAAATAGACCATTTTATTTTATTAAATAAATTAAGGCGGATGGATTTTGATGATATGCTTATTAAACTTTTTAAATCATACCTTACTAATAGGCAACAATATGTCATTGTTAATGGTTACTGTTCCGAGTGGTTCGCCTCTTGTTCAGGGGTGCCGCAAGGATCTAATTTAGGACCCATTCTTTTTGTTATTTTTATTAATGACTTGAAATTGAAGTTGCTCCCGGCTTTTATATGCGGATGATTTAAAAATTTATAAAGGTATACAAAACTTAAATGACTGCTTTGAACATCAAAATGATTTAAATACTTTAAACCAGTGGTGTCTTAGTAATCGTTTAAAGTTGAATATATCTAAATGTAAGATTATGCGCTGTACCAGAAAACGAAATCCAATTATTTTTGAATATAGAATTAATGATATTCCCTTGGATACAGTTTCTCTAATGAAAGACTTGGGTGTTATTTTTGATCAACAGTTAAGCTTTGTAACTCACATTAATACAAATATAAAATCTGCAACAATGACCCTTGGATTTATTTTTAGAAATACCAAAGGTTTTTCTTCTCAGTCCGTTAAATTACTATATTATTCGTTAGTCCGCAGCAAACTTGAGTATGCCAGCGTGGTTTGGTCTCCAATATATGCCTATCACATAACAAACCTTGAGAATGTACAGCGTAAATTCCTAAAAATTCTTAACTTTAGAATATTCAATTTTTATCCACTACAGGGTTCTGATCATTTAGTTCTGTTAGAGACTTTTAATGTATTGTCTTTGGAATTGAGAAGAAAAATTATTTCAATAACTTTTCTGTATAAACTTCTTCATGATCAGATCGATTGCATGGATTTGTTGGGTCAATTGTGCTTTAATATTCCTCGTTGTAATAGCCGACAATGTATAACGTTTAGATGTCCCTTCGCTCGTACAAACTCACTTAAAAAATCGCCTTTATATGTTATGTGCAATATATTCAATTGTATTTGTACTTCCTGTGATATAAATTTTTCTTTCTTAAGCTTTATAAAAAATTGTTTATCCTAGTATTTTATATTGTTAATTGTAAAAATTGTTAACTTTTTATATTTTTAATTATTTATATATTGTTTTTAACTTATTTGTATTATTTATTTATAAGATAGTATTTGTAAGTAATCAATATTATATAAATGTCCATTTATGGTATGTACTGTTGGGCAATAAATACCTATTATTATTATTATATATTTTGATTGTAAGGTAACATTTGATTATCAAATTAATTTTATTGTAAATAGGTCTTTAAAAATGTTAGGATTTTTAAAACGTACTCTTACAGATTTTAATAATGTCCAATGTTTAAAAAATGTATATACGTATGTATGTCATTCGTTCGTAGTATTTTAGAGTACTGTTGTGAGGTTTGGTCACCATTTTATTTTAATTATAGTATAAAACTCAAAAGAGTTCAAAATAAATTTTTACGCTATTGTGCTTACAAACTGAATATTGAATGTACATATTCTTTGGATTTGGTTAGAAGCGTTATAAATTTAGATTTACTAAGTAAACGGAGAACAAAATTTGGAATTATATTTCTTTATAAATTATTAAACAATTGTATAAATTGCCCAGATCTTTTAATGCAAATAAATTTTAATGTGCCATTAAGAAATACCAGGCAAGCAAATTTATTTTACATTAAAAATCATAGGACCCAATATGGCCAATATATGCCAATCTGTAGAATTTGCTCTGATGTAAATAAATTAGATTTAGATTTTTTTAATTGTTCTCTTGTGGTGTTTAAAAAATAAGATAATAAATTTGTTTTAATATATTATTATTAAACTTATTGTAAATTGTTATTATTAGTAAAAACGAAATAAAAATATAAGTAGAGTAGAGTAGTAACGCCAGGCAAAGCCTATAAGGTTCGGTTCTTCAGCGGGACCTACTGTTTAACGTGGAATCCGAACCACGGTCCTCGATGAGTTAGACTCATCTACCGACTTTCAACGCGCACAACACCCAAGGCTGTGACCGGGAATCGAACCCGCTACCTTCGGACGCAGTTTGTCCCGCCTAACCCACTGCGCCACCGTGGCCCCTAATAATAAAAATATATTAATGTGAAAATATCCAAAATTTAAAATAGATATTGAAATTGTCTATATTATTAATTAACAAAAATAATTATTGTAATTATCAAAGACCGAATTTAGGCAGTTAAAAATTGGAAATTAGGACACATAAATAGGCAATAAAAACCTACATTTTAGGCCAATTTAGGCCGAAAGTGACTAAAATATGCCTCAACTGCCTAAAAGGCGATATGAAATAAAAACAACACGATTGAACATAACATTTATTCAGGTACTATCAATAAAAATAAATCAAAAAATATATTTCTTCTAATATAAAATACATAATAAAAATAATAACACACACTCTAGCAAACAATATTGAAATATGTGTAATGTCAGAATATTTTGGGGTAAGGTTCGAACTCATAGCATGAGTCAAGGAAACACAATAGGTCTTCACAGGAACGGTGTTCGATTTATTCTATATTTTAATTGTTGGTTTACAGACAGTATAACATATCGGTAAGTTCATTAACACGTATAAAATACAAGATAAGCATAATTGCTAAGCTACTTTTAACTATGATTTCGATATTCTACTGATATTGCAAAATAAGTTTATAATAATTATTATTTAAAGCCTTATGACTTTTCCACTACACCTTTCCCGTTGAAAAAAGAAAAAAAATATTTTCTAATGTTTTTTTCTACATTCTACCTATACCTAATCTATAACTAATCCTAACCTATCTTAACAAGCTATATTATATTATATTTTTTAACCCGGTTCTTGTGAACCTCACAATTCTTATTATCTATTTTAAGAACTAAATTTGATTCGTTAATGTCTAAAGCATCTAATTTATTATCCATATTCTTATTATTTACTAAAACTAAATCACCTATCTGGTAAATAACTGATTTCGACCTTTCGTCGTAACGCTCTTTACGCTTTTGTTTGGATATGATTAAATTATTTCTGGCGTCACTCCATGCGACTTGTAGCCTATACTTAAGTTCGAATGGGTAACTGTCAAAATTATAAACTGGATCTACTTTTGTTGTTATATTAGAAGGTATTCTACACGGAAAACCAAAAACAAGCTCAAAGGGAGTATATTTAGTTGAGGAATGTACTGTATTATTGTAAGAGAAAGTCCAAAAACTAACAAAAGAGCTCCAATTGTTTTGCTGATTCGTACAGTTCATTCGTAAATAAGAAGTTAGACTTTTATGTGAGTTTTCAATACTTCCAAGAGTCTCGTGATGGTGTGCCGTAGAATTAATTTTATTTATTTTTAAAATTTTGCAGATATCTTTAAATATATTTGACATAAATTCTTGACCTTGATCTGTTATGATTTCTAAAGGAATACCAAAACGTAAAATAAAATTTTGAATAAAGGACCTTGCTACGGTTTCTGACTCTTTGTTTTCGAGTGGGTAAGCTTCAACGAACTTCGAAAGTTTACATTGGATAGTTAATATGTACTTATAATTTAGCAGATCTGTAGGTAAAGGTCCTACAATATCAAGAAAAACTCTTTGGAACGCAGAAGAAGCTGTTGTAGTTATAACCATTGGTTCTTTATTTGGTTCCGAATATTTGTACCTTTGACAGCTATCACATTTTTTTACGAACTTTTCTACGTCGCTTTTAAGACTAGGCCAAAAGTATCGTTTTTTAATATTGTTATACATACGGTTGACACCTGCGTGTCCTCCTGTAGGTAAAGAATGGAAGTCGTTTAAAATAAGATTTCTCATTTCTTTTCCATCGATACTCTCTCTATCTTTAAGGGGGGGGTAAGGTTAATTCGGTAAAAAAAGGCATGTTTTCAAGATTTTTTTTTGGCAATACAGATGGTGTTAGTTTATTCAGTCGATCCATACATGATAATGTAACATTAGAACAATATTCTCCTAAATTTTCATTGCAAAATATCAAAAATTGAGCGAGTGACAGTGAATCTCCGGAGGCGCCTCGAGAAAAAGTTGTTTTGCGGTGCCCATCATAACTCGCAGCCAAATCATCTGAAACAAAAAAATCAAAATGCATTCGTTAAAGGAGATGTTTGTCGAGGTATTCACGAGAGGATTTTTTTTCGATTTTTCGTAGCACTTGGAAGCCAAAAACCAGATTTTCGCTAAAAAAAACGGCTAATTTGCTTTGGTAAAATTGATAATTATTGAAAAAAAAAAAGCTCTCGACAATACCTGGGGAATTATGTGAAGAAACACTGTGCAAAATTTCAAAACGATTGGTCCAGTAGATTTTTAGTTATGGTGGGCACGGACTTCAAAAATGACAAGTCTCAGAAAAACGCTTTAAAGTTTTGCGTACTGAAGTATTCAAGATAAAATTCGACAATTTTTTTATACTCACACAGAGTCGTCGATGCCAGGTCCGTAGAGCAAAAGGCTTCCATCAAGATGATCTAAAGCATCTTTTTGCATTTGTCTACGCAAAACTCTCTCTTCTTTACTGTCATGCGCTGCTTGCTCCTCTGCTCTACTAATTCGCAACTCGTCAGCTTGTCGTGCCCATTCGTGAGAACTTGGCCCTGTACCGATGTTCATCTCTTGCATAAAGGCCAGCAAGGCAAAAGAACCTTAATTGAAAATACATGCAGCTACATTAGCTGCAATTTCAACAATTGTAGAGGTGCCACTGACAGATTTTGGGGAGATTTTCCAAATGAGCTGATTGAGACTCTCATTATTATTTTGCGTGAAACCTCCAAGACATCGCTGCAACAGTTCGTCCTTGCTCAAGTCGTAATAAATGGGCCTCATGGCTTCCAGAATGTCAGTAGGAAGAGCTGTGTAGCTGTGTTTGAATGATCCTAGAGCATCTGCAGCTGCAGCTTTCTGCCATTCGCACCAGGAGTCTTCGCCACTCCGGCATTTTTCGTGCTGAGGGTTCTCGTCGGTTGAACTGTAGTGATAATAAGTTGCCCATATGGCATTTTTCATCTTCTCAACTGAATCGTGATTACGTCGAATAGCCAGTCCATAGTAAACAGTCAATTTGTCGATCATTTTAGCAGTAAGCTTCCCTTTGCCAGAAAGGCTTTTTCTTTTTACAGTCTTTCCAGCCTTGGTTTTTGTTTCAACTACGTGTTTTTTTACTAGTTCACGCAGGCGTGTTCCCATTCTCTTTTGCACATGCCCGATGCATTCTTTTTTGTTTATTAAAAAATCTTCACCATAAGGTTTTGCATTAACAACGCCGCTGTACGTCTTTGAGTCACCGTCTCCGATGTAGTTACGGAATTTCACTCCAAGATTTTCCACCGATCGTTCGAACATTTCTATAACTGCTGATACCTCTATGTTTCCAGCGGGTCCGCTGTGGTTGGCTTTGCAATTGCCGCTATCAACATGCTCTTCGTACCACGCTTCGTATTCGGCGGAATCCAATTTGTTTGTCCAAATCTTACAATCGTTGCAGTAACTGCTTTTCACAAGAATGTCAAATACCTTTCCAGTATAATATCCAATTAGAGAAGTAACTCCAAACAACGAAGAGTACCCTCTTTTTTTCCACGTGCCGTCACCTGATACGGTCAATTCTGACGGTTCTTCTACATCATTCGCTTCACACATTGCTTCTTTCTCTTCTTGTACAGCCGATGTGAAGAACTTCTTGGCAACATTTTTTATCGATTCACAATTTTTGTCAATATATGACTAATAGGTTGGTTTCGATAACCCATATAGCACACGATGTACATTGTACATCCTTTTTTGGTCCATATTAGGTACATATGTCCCTGTACATTTAACGAACGTCCATAGGACATTTATTACAGAATGTTCTATGAATGTACAATTTATACGTACAATTTACATAAAATATTGTTCGTTCATCGCCCGATAGCAATAAATGCGGATAATACCAAAAAATATTAAAAATAACGTGAAAAGGAACTAAAATGACAATGAAATTTTAATTAAAATACTACGTCCCGTTTAAAATGCATTTGTAATTACAATTTGTAATTTACAAATGAGTTAACTCGACCATCAAAAGTTAATAATGTTGATTTAATGTTATAAATATTAGTAGTTCTTATTTTTAAACATAAGGATTACTATTAACAATCACATTTTCGCACATAAAATAAGGACATGCAGGTTTTATCCTATTTGCAACTGTCGATGTGCAAAGGATCGATATTTAAATTTGACGCTGAGTACCAAGATTGTGGCGTATGATTATTGATTATTTTTAAGGAACTGTGATTGGTTGTTGTGTATGTGGCGCCGCTTCAACTTTTAAGCGGATGGCGTAACTAATGAATACGTTAGCGAAGCCGCTGCAGCCATTTTTCGTCAGTGCCTAACTGTGTCGAAAGTGATAGCCTAAAGTTGTACCTTACAATTATTTCTGCAATAAAAGGTAAGCTATAGTTAATCATATGAAAGTAATAATAACAATAACATATGCTAAAACGGGGTTAAAACAAAATCCAAACAAACCTAAAATGTCAGTTGTCAAAATTACATTAACTTATACGCACGCTTAATTTGCATCGTTTGGAGGAAAACATATTTACGACTTCATCTACAGATGTGCTGAGAGAAGGATAACAAATACTTAAGTTGGGTAGCGAATTCAGCCTTCTTGGCATGCTTCTTTTTCTTCTTGCAAGAAGAAAAAGAGGGTATTTAAGGACCTGAAACTATAGTGTATACATGAACTTTTTAGCAGTAAGTTTAAGCTTCTTTCATCATGTAAAGATGTAAAGATAGGGCCAGAAACAAAAATCTATGTAATACGTAAAACAAATTATCAAAGATTTATTTACTTTAACCATAGTTAAGCTTTAAACGTAAATGTTTCTTTTTATTTACTGTTTTAATGAAATGTTTTTTAAGAATTGTAAAAATGTTTCTATTTTTGTGTTTGGTATTTAATGGAAGAATTTATGTTGGTCTTACGTGAAATGTAAATTTAAATAAATGATTTTGTTTTTAACAATGCTTTTACTTTATGTACACCAAAAGCCCAGTAAACATTTTTGTATGGATATCCATTAGAGAACATATTATGGACGTACTATAAGTTACGTAATATGTATGTACAAATCTGTGCCAAACGAACGTACATGGAACGTACATAGAATGTACATGGTACACTGATGTACCAACTATGTACATCCGTTGGTACGAAAACAAACACACTATGTACATACAATGTACATATTTGTGCTATATGGGAAGAAAGTACTAGCCAAATCCATTAGTCCGCAAAACTTGTTGCATCCGGCCAAACCTAAGCCTAACACTCGCATTACGAAAGTGAATCGATAATTGACATCGTATGCACCAGCATTAATCCTTTCACTAGATGGAAGGTAATTCGGCTGTTTACACTTTTCACATGTTACCTTGATTTTGAAACCAAGACCCTCTTTTTTGCATGTTTGGAATGTAATTTTTCCATCACACTTCACACATTTGACCAAAGTAGCAATAGTCGAAAAAACAGGAACAAAATCTATGATTCTGTAATGTTTTTGGATATCTTCTTCTACTTCTACTGCAGGACTATGCCTAATTTTTTTCGCTGACGCGCTATTAGCTTCCACTTCGTCGCGTCCACTCTTGTGCGGAGGCAGTTTTTTTTCGGTCGGTATAACCTCTCATTACTTTTCTTACGATCTTCTCTGCTAATTTTTCGGGGCATTTTTCGAGGTACGAACACGAACGAGAATAAAGTCAAACTTTCGAGGTACGAACACGAACGATAACAAAGTAGTCAAACTTTCGAAGTATCAACACGAAGGAAAACAGAGTCAAAATTTTAGCGTCACTTGTTACTGCTCAGCACGGCATACAGCGTTTAACTGATGCATAGATCATGCCTCGAATATACTCGACTTTACCTGAACAGGCCTGTTTGGGCCGGATGAGTCAGCGTCCGGCCGTCGCGCAGCTGTCGCTCAGGTATAAAACCTCAGGCTGGCAACGGACGCTGAAATACTCATAACTTCGTCAATTTTGCCCCGATCGACTTGAAATTTTAACACAATCTTCTTGAGATATTATGCATTCGATTAGAAAAATAAAAAAAAATCGAAAAAAAAAAATTTTAATATCTTACCTTACACATAATTTAATATTATTTTCTATTAACTTCTTTTTATTTTTACGTAAGATATTTAAAAATTCAGCGCTGTTAATATTTTTCATAACATATAATTCCGGAATATTTTTTAATTTGCAAATTTTACTAAGGTTTCTCATCGACTTACCTAAGTCCGACGATGATCGAAAATCCTGATTACAATAAATAACTTGCAGTTTTTCGTCGTAAAATATACTATCAAATTGAATGTCCTGGCTATTTTTAATTTTTTCGAATTCTTTATTTGTGAGCAAACGTAACTCTACAATCGTAGATGGACGTTTTAATATTTCTACAACAACAGGGTGATCAAGCCTGTCATTTCTAGTTGTTGCACTCTTTCATTCACACTCGCATTCATATCTTTTATTTCAGACGAATCAATTATAATACGTGACAAAGCATCCGCTACCACATTCTCTCTACCTCGTACGTACTCGACAACAAAATCAAATTCTTCCAAAATTAGCCTAAATTTGTTAAGTCTACTTGAGGGGTTGGTCATATTAAACAAGTAGATCAGTGGTTTATGGTCAGTAAGTATTTTAAATTTTTTGCCATATAAGTATGGTCGGAAGTGTTTTACGGACCACACTATACTTAGTAATTCCTTCTCTATCGTACAGTAATTACGTTCCGCTTTGTTTAAACTACGAGATGCAAACGCAACAGGTTTATTGTTTGCGTTAGCTAAAACAGAACCTAAGGAATATCCACTCGCATCTGTGGTAGTATAGTATAAAGTATAAACTGATTACTGGGTGAAAAATCTGGGTATTGCAACACAGGGGGGTTCATAAGTGCCGTCTTCAATTTATTGAACGATTGTTGACATTGGTCAGTCCACTCAAACTTTACACCTTTACGAGATAGTATATTAAGAGGATATGCAATTTCAGCAAAGTTTTTTATAAATTTTCTATAATAATTTACAAAAGCAACAAACCTTTTGGTTTCGTCGCTATTTTTTGGTACAGGGAATTTTGAAACTGCCTCAACTTTTGCTTCATCAGGCATTAAACCCTCTGAAGAAATTTTGTGACCTAAATATAAAATCTCCTTTTTTAAAAAATCGCATTTGTTTGGGTTAAGTTTGAGATTGAAAGTTCGAAGTCTTTGCAGAACTTTTATTAGATTTTGGTTGTGGTTTTGAAGGGAGTGCCCAAATACAACTAAATCTTCCATATAGACAAAACAAGACTCATTATTCAAACCTGTCATTGCAATTGTCATTAAACGAGAAAAAGCACTGGGGCTGATTTTCATACCCATGGCCAATATTTTCATTTGGAATTGACCTTTGTCGGTTGTAAAAGCCGTAATCCTTCTGCAATTAGGATTTAATTCCAGCTGATATTAGGATTGAGCTAAATCTAGATGCGAAAAATATACAGAGTTGCCCAAGGAATCAAGAATTTCACTTATGGTACTAAGTGGAAATTTTTCATCCTCTAGTTGTTTATTGAGCAACCGATAATCAATAACAACTCTAAACTTTTTGTTACCATCTTTATCAGCTTTTTTTGGTACTATTAGTAAGGGAGAAGACCACTCTGATACCGTCTCGTCTATAATACCATCCCGTAACATTTTATCTACTTGATTATGGATTTCCTCTTTTTGAGCAACCGGCAACCTGTAGGGTTTAACGTATACAGACTTAGAGTCCTTTTTTAGCTTAATTTCGTGTTGGTATAGATTTGTTACGGTTAAGGGGTCATCTTCCAAATGAAAAACATCGGCATATTTTGCACATATTTTCTCTATTGATACTTTTTCTTCCTTATTTAAGGATTTTAAGCCTATACAATTTAAAACTTTATCAACCCGTTCTACAGATATAGGATTATTATCTAAACTACATAAATCATAATTTTTTATACTTTCAACTCTTGGCTAAAAATTTCTTAACTTAACATCCCGTTCATTTACATTTAAAAATCTAACCGGTATCTTATTTTTAATGGGCCTAACAACCGAACTCGCTACAAATACTCCTTCGGAAATTTCGCTATTTACTAAAACGCATTCCTCCGTGAAATTTGTATAGCAATATTTAATGACCTCACATCTTGCAGGAATTACAGTACAAAAATCATTTTTTGACTCAAGCTGTACTTGAACTTTTTTGTTATTATTCCAAAATAAAAATAAAAATTTTTCAAAGTCGATTGTTACTCCAAATTTACAAAAAAAATCAGATCCCAAAATTCCATGAAAATCAGGATCAAAATCATCAGTAATAAAATAATCATATTTAATGTTTTCTGTCCCTATAGAAACTGAAATATTTGCTGATCCAATAGTTTTTGTTGAACCTGCAATGCCTTTAACACTTATTTGTTTTGATGTATCAATTACATATATGTCATCATTAAAACAGCTCTTAAATAGACAAGTTAAAGAAGAACCTGTATCGCATAAAAATAATAATTCCTTAAACCTATATTTAACTCGTATGAAATTTAATCCA